GATTACCCGGGTCTAGACAGATCCTTTCTGCTGGGGTGGTCTCTGTTGATATGGTCTCTGCAGAGCGTGATGTATAGTTTCTTGGGGCTGCACCCTTCCCCCCACCTCCATCCTTACAGACATGTGCCCTGCATCCCCTTGGCCTTCTCAGTGGCCACACCACCAACCCCTTCTCCAGGTTGTGTGCACCAGAGCTTGGAAATGAACCCCTCACAAAGCAGGAGTGTTGGGAGCCACTTCTGCCTCCTGAGGGCTGAGCAGAATTAGAGGGGGTGAGGCCTCTGCATTTTCCTCCCAGGCACATCACATTGGATTCCACCAAAATCTCTAGATTTTGCTGGGCATCTGGCTCCATGTTCCAGTGAACTTCCAATTTCAGAGGACACATGTCAAAGGGCCCCTCTTCTTTCCCATAGAACACTCTACTCCTAGCTTCCAGATACCCTCCTGTCCTCTGCTGCTCCACTGGTGGCCACACCAGTGGGGGGGGGGGGTCCCATGGTCCTGCTGCTCTGCCAGGGTCCAGCTGGGAAATGAGATGCCAGGCCCCACTTCTTGTGGGCGGTGCCTCTAAATGTTTGACCTGTATGCGCACAGCCTACCCTCCTCACTTGGGTAAGGGGGAAGAACCTGCCTTTTCCTCAAAGGCTGGCCTTCCCCACAATCCTGCACATCTCTTATATCCTGTTAGACTGGTGGGTGAGGTTTGGGGGTGAAGCGGGAAGGATGGTATAAGATAACTTTTTTTTTTAAGATTTTATTTTGAAGTAATCTCTACACTCAACGTGGGGCTCGAACTCACAGCCCCGAGATCAAGAGTTGCGTGTTCTATCCAGCCAGCCAGGCAGCCAGGCAGCCAGGCACCCCTGAGAGAACTTTTTTAGAAGTAGGACCATTTCTGCCGCCTTTTAATAAGCCCTGCAAGGGGCTAGCCAGCTCCAGCTGCTAGGGGCTTTCTCTAGAATGTGAAGTAGTTAAGTGACTTTAGTTTTGGGCCAGAGCAGAGATTAAGGATGCTGAAATATGATACCTGTTACATATACATTAGAATGTGTACCCACAGATAGATATGAAATGATTATGGGTATATAACATAGGCCCTAAAAAGATCAGAACACCCTGCTGTCATCCTTTTCATATATAATTCACACACAAAAATACATTAATCCATGACAAGGGCAAAGAAGGGCAAGGCATTCTGTTTTCCCCATGACTACAGTTTTAATTTTTCCAAATGTCAAATTTCAAAGTTTTAAAAACATATATGCTTTCCTAGTGCTCTAAGCAGTACCTCCAGTCATACTGAAAGGGTTAAATAAGTGAATAAATATGGACATACTTTACGTGATCTATAAAAAAATGAAGGACCATTATTACATATGATTGTATAGTAGCTTTTCTATATATAAATATACATACCTATAAGTCTTATTTCAGTTTGGTACATGAAAACAAATTGGTGTCTGGAATAAATTTTTTATTTCATTGGTGTATACCAATTAATTAAGACTACAGACAATCTTGAGCCAGACTGACTGGGTTTTAAGCCTGGCTCCATGATTTTAGGACAAATAGCCTAATCTCTCTGAGCCTCAATTTCCTCACCTGTAAATGGGGATAATAATAGTGTCTATCACACAGAGTTGTTGTGAGACTCAAGTGGACTAATTAATAAAAAAATCACTTAACCTTAAAAAAGTGTCTGGCCCAGAGTGAGCCTTCAAGGATGGGGTTTAATTATATACTCTATTAACTACAGAGAAAAATAGGAAATTTCTTGTTTTTGCTTGGATATTGGTATTTTGAATATTAATGATAGAAATCAAATGGATCAAATTAGGATTTGCTTTGTGATGCTGTTGGCTTTTAAACATTTACCTAGAGGGGCATCTGGGTGGCTCAGCCAGTGAAGCATCCGACTTCAGCTCAGGTCATGATCTCATGGTCTGTGAGTTCAAGCCCCATGCTAGACTCTGTGCTGACAGCTCAGAGCCTAGACCCTGCTTCAGATTCTGTGTCTCCCTCTCTCTCTGCCCCTCCCCCGCTCACACTCTGTCTCTATCAAAAATGAATAAACGTCAGAAATTTTTTAAAACATTTACCTAGTTACCTGGGGGGTAGGGACTACAGTGGAATGAGGTGTCTCAATACGATCAGGGTCAGCCTTACCTGCCATTGGAGTAGCAGCCATACAGGCAGCCAAGAACTCAGGGAGTAGGCTAATTAGCCACCCAGGCAGGACAGACAGGGGGCACAAATGAAAATGTACAAGACTCTCCATAAACCCAAGACTGACCCTGGAGATTCGTTACTCAGTAACAGATCTGTAAAACTCTTTGTTCCCATTCTCCCTCCACCTGCTTTCCTTCTGCTGTTTGCTGTGGGCTACATTCAGCTCCCCTTTGAAAGGTTTGCAGATTAGTATCGAAGGGAAAAGTTTGACCTAACGATTCTTTTCAAATGGCTTCTCAATATTTCATTTATTGTTTCAGCCTCATCGCTCTCCTAACTTCTGATTGTGCACAGCTCTTATTAGTTTTATTGGCTTACCTGACTCAAATAGATTTCGTCGAATTTTCTGGAACCAGAGGCAGACTGTTTGTATATTTATCTCATCACATCCTTTCTATTTTTACCTTTCCATTTCAAGCTTTCATTCTAAACTTATCATAGATGCTAAGTCGTAGCAGTCTTGATCTTCTCCGCAAATATTTGCCAGGTTGTAATTTTTTATTTGTTATCAACAGCCAAATTTAAACAAGGCTAATCTTGTTCTAATTTGGTTTGCAGAAGCCCCAGTCTTGGTACTTAGAGAAAGCAAATGCTAATTTCTTGTTCTTTCTTACGTGTGTTTTCCCTCATGTACTGCAGTTAATATTTTTTAAAATAAAAATTATTTGGGGCAGTAGGAACCACATTTGGACCTAACATTTAAACAGAAAGCATTTTGGCAGGAATGCACTGAAGTATACAGAATGGTTGCTGGATCTGTTTGTTAGCCTGATCTTGTAATTGTCTCCTTCCCTTTTTTGGCTTCCTCAGGGGGTACTCCTGGTGGTCCCAGCTTGTTGAAGGCGCCCTGGAGCTGCTGCAACCCTGAGTGGCAATTCGCTGCTGGTTGGGTTCCTGTGGTGGCTGCCTGCTGCAGGCTGGGTTATGTAGATGGCAGCGGTAGAATTCCTAGTTTGATGTGTATGTATTTGGACTTCCATATGTTGTGTGCATATATGTGCTGACTGCAGGACCAGAACTTCTGACTGAGTGGCCAAGGTGGGCAGTGGGAGGGGGGCGGGGAGGGAGGGGTGCTGCAGGTGGCTGTTGAGTATGTCATGAGAGGTTTTCTCAAACCCTAATTCACGTTTAAAATAGGTATCTTAATCAGAGGCTAAATTTGGATTCTGGTCTGTCAAACAGTAGCTTTGTAAAAGCACATTTCCATACTCCCCTCCTTCTACTGGTCCCAGGCTGCCTCAGGAGCTCTGTTTCCTGCTCATGGCTACTGGCTACTGTTAGAACAGCAATTCCCCCTTACCCTTCTGTCTGGGAACTCACAAATCCTCCCTGGGACAAGGCTTAGCCTCCTCCAGGAAGCTCTCGGTGCCCGTTCCAGTCCTGAGTCACCTCTTGATATTCTAATCCAGGCATCAGCACTACTGCTTGTAGGTCAACTCCAGCCAGCTGTCTGGTCTTGTAATGAAAGTTTGATTAGGATTCAACTATGTTCATTTGTTTACATATTGTCTCTGGCTGTCTTTGAGATACAATGGCAGACTTGAACAGTTCTGACAGAGACCGTATGGCACACAAGTTTAAAATATTTATTTCATATGGGGCGCCTGGGTAACTCAGTCAGTTGAGCATCTGACTTAGGCTCAGGTCATGATCTCATAGATCATGAGTTCAAGCCACACATCAGGCTCTGGGCAGACAGCTCAGAGACAGGAACTTTGGATTCGGTGTCTCCCTCTTTCTGCCTCTCCCCTGCTCATGCTCTGGCTGTTTGTCTCTTTCTCTTTCTCTCAAAAATAAATAATAACCATTAAAAAAAATTTACTTTGTGGATTTTTGCAGAAGAAGTTTGCTGACCCCCTCTACTAAAGTGAGAAAGCTTAACGTATGAACCTACCGACATGACGTGTAATGAATGGCCCTCTTGGGAAGTTTGTAAAACTCTCACTTTAGAATTTAGTATAGGTTTTTTTTTTTTTTTTTTTTTAAGATTTTATTTTTAAGGAATCTCCACACCCAGTGTAGGGTTCAAAATCACAACTCCAAGACCAAGAGTCACATGCTCTACTGAGTGAGCCAGCCAGACACCCCAAGAATTCAGTATAGTTTTTTTTTTTTTTTTTTTTAAGCATTTCCCAGACGTTTTATTCACTAAACAAAACAATCTCAAAATTACACTCAGAGATTAGGGTGATTTTCCCACAAGGGAAAGAGAACCCACAGGCAATTTCATTTTCTAGAGAAAACATCCATTTATTGCCACTGTTAGGTGATTGCAGGAAAGGCTTCCAGAGCACAGCTTTGTACCTAAATCAGTTTCTCCCAACGCAGAACTCTTACTACTTATTGATCTCAGTGTAAGAACATATATCCTATCCTGTTTCCATAGGATGTATGAAGATATAACTTAATCAAATCATTTATATAGGAGTCCAAATACACAGATTTACAAGGTTAGAATTTACTTAAAAAAATAATTCCTGGGGCATTTGGGTAGATCAGTCGGTTAGGTGTCTGACTTCGGCTCAGGTCATGATCTTACAGCTCGTGAGTTCAAGCCCTGCATCGGGCTCTATGCTGACAGCTCAGAGCCTGGAGCCTGCTTCGGATTCTGTGTCTCCCTCTGTCTCTGCCCCTCCCCTGCTCATGCTCTATCTCTGTCTTTCAAAAATAAATAAAAGTTAAAAAAAAAAAATGGTAGGTATGAAGTGAGAATACATTTAACTCAGTTACAGAGCTAGATTCATTCTTCGGTCTTCTCTCTTGCCCAGTGGCCAGCCCATTCCCAGGGTGGAGTACACGGAGGAAGAAACAAAAACATGGGGCGTTGTGTTCCGAGAGCTCTCCAAACTGTATCCCACTCATGCTTGCCGGGAGTATTTGAAAAACTTCCCTCTGCTGACTAAACACTGTGGCTACCGGGAGGACAATGTGCCTCAACTTGAAGATGTGTCCGTGTTTCTCAAAGGTAAGACTTCACACAGGCTGTCTCTTCTCTTCCCAGCCAACATCCTTGTTTGTCCTCCAAGGACACACATTGCAGCAATGGCCCTTTTTACAAAAAAAGGACAAACTCCCTTTGATTTAAAAAGGAGAGGGGGCGCCTGGGTGGCGCAGTCGGTTAAGCGTCCGACCCACAGGACCACGAGTCATGATCTGGAGCCGAAGTCGGCGCTACTAGCACCCGACCTAGCCACCCAGGCGACCACCGTGTCGTACTTTCTCCTTTTTTTTTTTTTTGCATTACCCTTCCTACCTCCATTTTAATTTTTTTTTTACGTTTATTTATTTTTTGGGACAGAGGAGCAGAGTATTGAAGCGGAGGAGAGGGGGGGGAGGGAGACAGAATCAGAAACAGGCTCCAGGTCGAGCCGTCAGCCAACCCGATTGGGCTGTCGAGCTCCGAGACCGCGAGATGCGTGACCTGGCTGGTCGGCACGAACAACGAGCTATTCTCACCCAGAAGCTGCCTTCTCTTCTGAACCCAAATCAAGGGGAGTTGTCCTTTTTTGTAAAAAAGGGCATTGCTGCTGAATATGTGTCCTGAGGACAAACAAGGATGTTATTGGCTGGGAAGAAGAGGCACAGCGATGACGAAGTCTTCCTTGTTTGAGACACGAATATCTCTTCGAAAGATTGGCCTTCGTAGCCACATGTTATCAAGCAGAGGAAGTTTTTCCAAATACTCCACCGCAAGCATGAGTGGGATACAGTCCATGGAGAGCTCTGAACATAACTGATCCATGTTTTGTTTTCCTCCATTTCTATCCACCCTGAGGAATGGGCTAGCCACTGGGCAGAGAGACAGACAAGAATGAATCTCAGCTCTTAACTGAGTTAAATTGGTTTCCTCACTTCATACCTACCATTTTTTTTTTTTTAACTTTATTTTTGAAAGACAGAGATAGAGCATGAGCAGGGGAGGGGAGGCGGGGCAGAGGGGAGACACAGAATCCCGAAGCAGGCTCCGAATACTGGCTGTCGGCATGAGCCCGATGCAGGGGAGCTGCACTCCA